GGAAATTATATATTTTGATTCGGTTTGATTTTTAGGGATTATGAACTATCTGGATGTTTGTGTAGATATCCTAGTATTAATTTACTTTGAATAAAAATACGTTATTATATTTTAAATTTCTAATTCCATTTTCAACTTCCAACATTTATGTTTTTGTAATCTTACTTAAGCTTCTTATATTATAGAAATCAGCTTTTAAAAAGTAGAAAACAAAATAGAAATAAAACAGAATTTTAGTTATAGCAAATTTAATTTTTACAAAGTCGTGGAAATTTGAAATCTCAATAAAATGTAATAAACGGAATCAAACCCCTTCATACAGTATTGAATCAAATAATAATCAAATAAATAAATAATAATAATAATAAAAGACAGCGGAACTATAGCGTTATATATAAAATATTTAAACATATTGGCAGGATGAAAAAAAAAAAATGAAAAAAGTACAGTTAGGCTACATTTTTCATAATTTTCTAACCTTTCTTCCATTTTATAGTCAAAATGGTATGAAAATTCAAAATAAAAAAAAATAAAAAAAAAATCTGACTATACCTTTGGTGCGGTTTAATTAGAGAATAATTCAGAGCAACAATTTTTCAGTTAGTATGGGGTGGGTCATTGTGGTTCAATTATTAGAATGCTTCACCACTCTCCAGAGTACCATACTTGGCTCTACCGAACGCTGCAGAACTTATCACACATTCTGACAAACTTCAAGAAGAGCAAATATATCATATTTAAGGCCTACCTAAAGCTTGTACTTTTACTTTCAACAAAACAATGTCATTTGATTTAGGTTTTGGGGAACAAAACATATGTAATGTTTTGGCAAAGTTTTCTATTATCTATCTAATGAAACCACAAATATACTAACGCCAAGCAAGCAACAAACCATAGATACGTAAACAGAAGTTCAAACCCATAATATCTTCCATAGCTGCGAAGGTCTAAATTCACTTTGCCCACCAAACAAAAATCCTTAGTTCAAACCAAAACTACGACCGATCAATAAAGATAAAAAAAATCTACTACAAACAGACTCATAGATAAAAGGTTGAAGAGGCATGCAATACAGCGGAGACAATTTCCCAACTTAGTCAAAGAGGCTGAATCCCAGATCCTGCAGAACAGAACAAACAAAAGTTAGAAAAAAATAGACAAAGGAACAGAGGTAGAATTTCTCGATCCAGACTAGTATAAAAATATTATTATAATCAGATGCCAAAATCTCACATCATCAGATTCCTCTTTCTCTTCTACTTTCTCTTCTTTCTTTGTCTCGGCAGCGGCAGCCGGTGCTGCAGCACCACCAGTTGGCGCGGCAACAGCCACTGCACCACCACCAGAGGGCACCGAGGCCAATTTTTCCCTTCCGGAAGCAATCAACTCAGTAATATCTTTGCCCTTAACTTGGGACAAAAGCAACTCGATTTTCTCATCTTCTGCCTCTGCTCCAACTGACGAAACCAAGAATGCTCATTAATTCAAACAGATTCAGATTTCTAGTACATTACACAAGTTAACCCACCACAGTATTTTGAACTCGAGCAATGACAAAAACCCACGAGGAGGAAAAACAGAGACTTCAACACCGGATAACAACAAAGTGAAAGCATACAAGTCTATTAAATGCCATAATAAGCTGTCTATAAGACAAAACCACTTCATATATGGAGATTGGAGTGCATCTTTTCACTTGACTTCGTTTAATAATCTCAAGACTCGCCGTGGCATTAAAATTCCAATGAGCCATTTCTACAGTCTCGCTGATAAAAGTTAACAACAGAAACAACCAGCGATATGGAAATCAAAACTCAAAAGATAAAAGAACATGACTGAGTAACAGGATTAATAATCGGTGTTCAAGTTTCTGCCAAGGTATGGTCTAACGAAGCTAAGATATCTACAACAATCGATTCAACAGAATTTTCTAACGAGGGAGATAAGAATACATTGCATAAATCAAGTTGCTTCATTTACAAAAAGAAGACCATAATTACAATTCCCCGAGAAAATGTCACCAACTGAATCCAAAATACAAAAAAAAAA